CTCCATCCAAGGCCTACCTGGAGGTGCTATCACAGGAGGATATTTTATACAAAGGGCTCCACCCAAATCTCCACGGGAGGGAGGGGAGATAACTGCAGAACGCCCAGCAGAGAGCTCACAGCTAACATCAGCCACAAACCAGAGCTGATTCTGGAGCCAGACGGCCAGTCTGCAGATCCCCACTCCTGCTAACCAGCTGTGTGATCCTGTGCCTCAGTTTCCATGTGTAAACTGGGGATAACAGCACTTCCTGCCTCAAGATGGGGTGGGGTGGGGGCTCTGAAATAAAAGGCATTGGTGTTTGTGAAAGGCCAGCACAGCGTCCCTGCTCAGAACTGGGAGCTCATTCAGAGAACCAAGAGGGGACCTACCCTCCACACACCCCTCAGGCTCACCTGAAGCTCAGCATCTGCCCCATCAACAGCAGAGACAGCAGGCCCACTCTTCCCATTTCAGCCTATGCCCTCCTGTCTGTGAACTTGCCGGGGCTCCCCTGAAAGCACTGGACACACCCTTACCTCACCTCTCTGTCTTTCCCACCTTTGTTCATCTTCAGGGCCTGGTTTGATCCTCTAAAGCATCTTCCCTCCTCTGAGCACTCCCTGCCCCGATGGCTGTTCCACACACTGAACACTTTTCTCAGATGTATTTTTTCCCTCCTGGTACTAATACCTCTACCTGCCATTTCCTGGGCACTGTATGTGAAATTTTAATCTGCCCACATCCTCAGAGGAAGACACTGGTCCGTTTTACAGTGAGAAAGCATGAGGCCAAGAGAAGATAAACAATTCTCCCTAGGACACACAGCATATGGGCAGAATAGGACTCGTCATCAGCTTTATCCTCACACCTGGGGGTCCAGACAGATGACATTCCCAGGGTGGGAAGGGATGTTAGCAGTCTCCTGGCCCAAGCCCTGTTTCGCTAGGTTACCAGGTCACCCAGCCAACCCCATGGGAACCCCCTCTTCTAAGTATCCCCAAGTTTCTCTGCTTTTACCCTCAGTTACAGGGAGCTCATTCCCAGCCCCCAGCCCAATTCCAAATGTAAAGCCCATCTTGGAAGCTCTGTCTCCCTCCACCTCCACCCAGCATTTCAGCCCCTAAATTGGTTCAGAAAACGCCTTCTTAACTATGAGCACCCACCCACTGCATGACAATTTAAAACAGCCTGAGGGTTTTTTTTCCCTACCTTTACTATAAAAAGACACCTTGAAAATGCAGCATTGACATTCCCTTGTCGGTCTTCTTTTTAATTTAAAAACACAAACATTACGGTCATTCAAAAGTGGAGTTAGGGGGATATTAGGGAAGGAAGTAAGACTCAGCCTGCCTTTGCCTTGCTGGGTAACCCTGTGCCTCAGTTTCCCCGCTCAATAGCTGTGGCAACTTCCCAATTCACTTGCACCTCAAACACGAGGTGAGGAAAGGGATCTATGTTACACACAGTGGAGACTAATTTCCTCACTCACTTTCTCTCTCAAAATAGTCCAATACCCTCAAATACTCCGAAAGTCATCAGGGACAAAGTTGGGACCGTCGAGGGCTGGGAGAAATAGAGGTTTCCTGACTCCTGCTCATCTGACCTCACACCTCATCAACTCTTCCTTTCTCTGCCAGATTCCCAGATGGAAGATAGCAGTGGAGGATGAGGCTTCATTGTCTTAAAGGTGGAGAACAGGGACAAGGCCTGCCAGGTAAGAAGCTGGGATGTCCTAGACCACCCCAACAGAGGCTCTGGAGCTGTGGGATTGAGACCCTAAAAGCAACCTCAGGTGGCTGGGTTTACAGAGGCCTGGCCAAGCCACCTCACCTGGAGGTCGGATGTCCCTGGAGAACAGATAGAAGGACAGGGTGTTGTCCTCTAACCTGATGGCACCAAATTCCATCCTGATGCCGGGCCAGACTGGGCAGCTTCCTTCCCCTCCATCTTGTCTGAATCTGGAGCTACAACCAGGCAGCCGAATGTGTCCTGAGCCCACTGCTTCCCTCCATGCCCCCAGATGGACCCTTCACATCCTGAGAACGAGGTCTGGCCTGCACCTCCACTGCTGTGCCCAGCACCCACAACAGGGCCTGGCATATAGTAAGTGCTCAAGAAATACTTTCAAATGAATGAGTGAATTTCCTGCCTAGGATATGGCACTAGCCTCCCAACTACTCTCCATGCCTCTCATCTTTCCTTCTTACCAGCCACCTAGGAACCTTCTAAAATAATTACATTAACAACAATCATAGTAATTGCAAATACGTATGCTGGGCACCCTACCAAGAGCTTCACATGTATTATCTCACTGAATCCTCACGACAGTCCTGTGAGGTAGGTACTTTTGTTACTGTTCTCATTCTACAGAGGAGGACACAGCGGTGCTCAATCAGATCATATCACTCCTTCGGCTAAAACCCTTCATGTCTCCGCATTTCCCCAAGATATAGTCCCAATTCTGAAATATGACCAACCTGCAACCTACGAGCCCCACCCACCTCCCCCAGCCCTTCTCTCATGCTTTCCCCACTCCTCCGGCCATACTGGCCATGTTTCAGTTGCTCTAGCCAGCCTTGCTATGTCCTACCTCCAGGCCTTTCCATCAACTGTTACCTCTGCCTGGATCCTTTCTTCTTCTGCGGGCCTCATCTGGCTAACTCCTGCTCATCCATCCACCTCCACTTTGATATCACTCTGCCAGAAAGCCTTGATGCCCATCTCTGGCTCCCTCTGGCCAGGTTCTCCCAATATGGCATACATCTCCCTGGGCTGTAAGACCCTGCGTGGTCCATGAGAGCAGAAACCACGTGAGTCACCATTGCCACCCAATGCACAGCACCATGCTGGGCACACAGTAGGGGCTTAGGAAATGTTTATTGAGGCTTCTATCTGGGCTACAGGTGGGAGATGGTGGAGTCTTCACTGCCGCAGAACAAGCCAAAATAGGTCACTGTTTGCTGTTCAAGACCAAGCCCATATCTGTGATAATACCATCCCCTGAAGTAATAACAGCAGCATGCTACCAGGTACTTACTATGTGCCAAGTACAAATTGCTTTACGTTAATTAGTTAATTCAATCCTTGAAACAATTCTTTGAGATTTGTTTTTTATTGTTCCCATTTTGCAGATGAGGAAATTGAGGCTCAGAGAGGTTAAGTCCCTTGCAAGATCACACAGCTGGGAAGTGACAGAGTAGGGTTTGAACTGGGGGTGCAAAGTCCTAATTCTTAGCCTGTAACTGGGGAGCTGGCAACAGCCTGGATGGAGCAAGAATAATGACCATCCGCCCTTCCCACCCTCAGCTGTGCTGGAGGCCCAAACCCTGGGGCCTTGGACACAGCTGGGAGAGCCTGCTCAGTGGCACTGGCCTGTGCCCATGGCCAGCTATGGAAAAGAGGAGAGGACTGGGGAGGTCACAGGGAGAGTGGCTGAGGAGGGCTGAGAATCTGCCCAGCCTTAGGGTCAGGAGGAGGCCCTTGGCCACTCCGTCCTGGGGCTGTGTCCCTGGAGAGGCCCTGTCCCACTAAGGACAAGGAAACCCCAGCCCCCTTCAGCTGAGTGAGTCACTGCACCAGGCCAGGCTGGGAATAAGGGACCGTGGGAACCAGGAGGGTTCCTGCCAGAGCAGGAGGAGGAGACTATGGAGGCCCAAGGCGACAGACTCACACCGAGGATATGGATGGACACACAAAGCCTGGAAAGGCTGAGGAAGGCCCTGGCTCTGACAGCGTCTTCCCT